TTTTAAAAAATTTTTCCCCCCCCCCCCCCTTTCCTGAAAAATTATCCGTTTTTTTGCCCCCCCCCCCCAGAAAGTTTTCTGCGGGCGCCCATGACGATTACGTTAATTTTTTTTTAAGACGGCGTTTTGCCCACAAACTGTGTTGTTGATGTGGGTGTAAATATTGTAAATAAAATAACATTTCGGAAAACTTTGGTAAATCTGGGAGTTTTCCTTCCCATTAAAACACCAATTTAAAACCAGTCCTCCTACTGTACGCTGGTCACATGAACGCATGTACAAAACCTTTCTGCAAACATCAAACATGCTCTCACCACATACATCCAACAGAGTTATTCCTTGGACATTGACATCACCACTTACCTTAGCAGGGATAATACAAACAAGAGCTGTGTCACATCTGTTAACAGAATGTGTTAAATATAGATTCATACACCAGTGCGCAAATAGTTTGTTGACAACAAGACACATCGCTGCAACATATCGCAACCAGTAAAAACAACAAATGCAAGTGTTTAAAACTGTTTACTCATACCATGTTCTAGCACAGAGACTGAGAAAGCAACACAAGAGACTGAGAATGCAACATTGTGATCTGGGAACAATTACATTTTTCATTTTCAAATAATTTGTTTTTCTTGTTTTGTGTTGTCTGCTGAAGAAGGCCTTTAGCCGAAACGTCCTTTTTGATTGTCCTGTCCTTTTTGTTCAAGCCTAAACATAATCTTGTTTCGATATTTATTTTCGACACAAAGCTTGTACCCAGTCCCCCAAATATGATCATGCCAGTTCCAACGTGAAAAAGTAGGATTGTTCTATTTTTAACATGGAACTAATTATGAAATATGATTTAAATACAATAATTGTTAAGTTTTAAAAACAAGTTACAAAATGCAAAAATTAGAACACAGGTATACCTTATCATTGTAGCACACTAACATATAAATAAATGTAGCAAACTAACATAAAATAAATTGTAGCAAACTAACATAAAATAAATGTAGCATACTAACATAAAATGTTAAAATAAATGTTACACAAAAGCATGAGCAACAATGACCAGCAAAGAGAATAAATTATAATGCCCAGATTCTCTGACATCCTATCATGTACTACATAATAAAAGCAAACTAGATATAGCCCGCCAAACATGCAGCATGAACTTCCCATCTACTAAAGTTACTTGACGAAAACGTGAACTCAAGTTACGCACATTTAAGAATGCCAATTTTGCTACACCCTTTTCACCCCCCCCCCCCATCTCCCCCCCTTTTTTCATGATCCGTCCCTGCCCCCTTTTTATTTCCCGCCCAT